TTAGATGGATCTTTGATGCAGCTTGCATCTAGTTCTAAGGATAAAACTATTTGTATTTGGAATGTTGAATCAGAAACACGCGTGAAAGAATTAACACTGCCAGCACCAATGTCTCATTTAACTGATTCACAAAAAAAAAGGCTAAATTTGGCTTTAACATGGCTGCCTAAACGTAATCAATTAATTGTGTCATCTTATAGGTAAAAAAAATGCACATCATATTTAAAAAATAAAAAATTTTTATTAATTGTTTGTCATAATTTATCAATGAAATCAAATTTCTATAATGTAATATTAACAGGGGTGATTTGTTAACGTTTGATTCGGATCATGCCAAAACCAAATTCAACAGATTTACAAATGATGTTAACTCACATAATAGATCAGTAATAAAAATCATTTCATATCCATGTGCAGGTAAACTCATTACACTGGGGATAGTGCGTATGAATTGATTCATTAGCTATTTTGGCAATTGATCCAACAAAAATTGCTTTTGCTTCAAACGAAGTTCATGTCTGGGATTATGCTAGTGAAGATGGTCTTTATGATAATAAAGATTTTTATAAAGTAATTAAATTTAGTAATAATGCTACTTGTGTAAGTAATTTTATTTATTTTGTTTTTGAAAAGGAAAAAACTATTATTAATCAATATGTTAAATTTCAGGTTAAGTGGCATCCTTATGAAGAAGGTGTTTTAGCATTTGGTACAAATTCGGGTATGGTCGGTTTTTTTAATATTTATCAGAATGGAAATAATTCAACAGTTTTCAAATCCTATCATAAAGGAGAAGTAACATCTCTTCAATGGTGTAAAAGTGAATGGATAGATTTGCCGATAAATAACAAAAAAGATTCTGACATGTATCTGCTTAGCTGTTCATTAGAGACCGGATTGCTTTTAAATATTCAGTCTAGTCCTAGGACAGTCTCATATCAAATTGACAATTTTATAAAAGGTGCCAATCCAGAATTAATGGAAATTTTAAAGGTATGTATATATTATTACTATTATTATTATTATTATTACTAAAA